AAAAAAAAAAAAAAAAAAAATCTGATTTTAGGCTTCTTTTGAAAAACCCTGAGTCTGCTCGCACACTCCCACCCAGATGTAGTTACCAGGCACTGGGCAGCTGCTGCCCCCTGGAGGTAGGACTTGTGCCCTGCAAGTCTTTTCCTCTGGCCCACCCTTTTGTGTCCTTCCCCGGCCTTGCCCCTAGGGAAGCCTGGAACTTGCAGTCCCTGACCCAGGTGGCAGAAACACAGTCAGTTAGCCAAACATTTCTTTTTAAGGTCAAAAGTCCAATGAGTACAAAAGATTATTTAAGAAAAAGTGAATCTTCTTCCCTCTGAGGTGCCTGGCTGCCTTCCCTGTGTCTCCTTTCACAGATAATCTTTTTACAAGCAGTCACTGAACATTCATTGGCATCTCTTGTGTGCCAGACAAGCAGCTGGGCTTCAGGATCACATGGTACTTTTTCAAAATGTGGACACAGGAATTTCGTAAGCTATTTGGAGAATTTGTAAAATTAGAGCTTATAAATCTCAGTTTGGTAAAGTCCACCGTGTTTTCTGTTGCTTAACCAGGCAGAGATCACTCTACTCAAGATGTGATCTCCTAAGTGGAATTATCATTATACAGTCGTGTAGTCCACGGCGATGGCTCTGGAGCTCCAACCCTCCGCGGCCACTGCTTCCAGTGTGCAGATGGCGCTCCTCACAGGGACATCCAGCTGAAGATGCAGGATCTGAAAGTCTGATGTGCCTGAGAAACAAGTCACGTGCTACATCCCCGTACACCCTAGCGCCTTCAGGAGCAAGCACCACTTTCTAGCTTTCCATGCTAACCGTTCCCTTCAAATACAGGGAGGCCTGGGCTGTGAGGTGAGGGCACAGTCTGGCTTTTCAGTCCAGAGCAGGCCCACACTGCTACCAGAGGTGACACTTGGTCAAGCTTGGTGTGGGGAAGAGAAGTGGAGATGGCGGCCTCCATCCTGTGCTTCCCTCTCTCAGCCCAGCCTTCCACCCCACCCCCACTCTCTGGTTGTCAGGCGCCACCCATTTACAGCCACACTTAATAACTGCACCTCAGAAGGTGGGGACTGGGTGGAAGGGAGGACGGAGCTGTAAGTCAGACCACTGTGCCTGGCCTGGGTTGTTTGGGTTTCACTTTGAATCTGGAAGTGCCCACGGGGGCAGTTAGGGGTGCGGGAACCTCTTCCTCTGGAAAGTCTCCTGAGAAGCTCTGCAGAGTGGGAGCCCACCTCTCAGCAGCCTGAATCGCCTGTCAGTGTAGTCCAGGACCACTACCAGCCTAGGGTCTGTTACAGATCTATGAAGTAAGCACAGAAATTCCAAAGAAGCTTTCATAACAATTTTACAAGGTCTGCTGAATAGTATTGAATTAGAGACTAATGTTTTGCATCTTTTAATTTTTTTTTTCATTTTGTTCTGTTGTTTTAAGAGCTATAGTAAGGGCCTGGGATTTAGCTCAGTGACGCTGCACCTGCCTTGCAAGCGCAAGGTCCTGAGATCAATTCCTGGTACCAGAAAAAAGAAAGAAAAAAAAAGCTATGGTAAAATGTACATAACACTCAGGCATGGTGGCACACAACTGTAATTGTAGCTCTTGGGAGGCTGAGGCAGAAGGATCACTGTGAGTTCAAGACCAGTTTGGGCTAACAGTAACTTCAAGGGCACCGTGAATTACATAGGGAAATTAAGCTATACATACCATAAATATGCCATTTCAACTATTTTAAGTGTACAATTCAGTGATTACATTCACAATGTTCTATCACCAGCACTATTTCATATATTTTTAAAACTTTTGTTTTTAGTTTGAGACCACTAACAAGTGTTGACCCAGGGTTTTCCAAAGTCTTAAAGGTTTGAAGGAAACAGGTACCTAATTCCAGGACCAAATAGCATTGTTTGGCTTCCTTTCCAGAAACTGCTGAGGTCGGCCTGAGTACAGGGAAGTGCACTGAGGCTCACTGGCACAGCCCTTAAAGGAGGCTAGCAAGGCATGGTACAGCCTGGGTTAGAAGCAGGGGCCAGTGTCTCCCTTCTCTCGCGATAGCTTCACGGGGCAGGAAGGAGGGATGACAGGCTGAGGGGTGTCTGTCTAGAGGCTTTGGGCTTTCTGATTCGGCTAGGGCAGGCATTTGTTTCCAGTCCCAAGAATGTCAGCTTCAGCTGGTTGGGCTCTCAGTGACTTGGTAGAGCCTACTCACCTTGCTTAGAGGAGGAGCCTGGGGCTAACGAAAGGACTTGTCCATGGTCAGGGACAGTTAGTCATGACCTCGGGTTCCCGCCTTGGAATTCCCAGGCCAAGGTGTTTAGAGTCACATAGAATGGGATTCACATTCTGGCTCTAGCAACACTGCACAGCTTTGGGCTTCCACGCCCTCAACTATAAACTGGATAATTTCTACCCCCTGGGTGACTGTACCAGCCCACCTGAGCATCTGTGCCCCAACTGACATCTCTTCTCACTTGATCCTCCTGCCAGCTTTCTGAGAGATCTTTGTCTTTTCTGGGACTCAAAACATTTGTAAAATGATGGGGCTGGAGAGAAGCAATAGTTCTGTTTGGCTGTTGAGGCAAAACTTGCTGGCGGCTCGCCCATGAGCCATTTTCTTCCTTATAACAGGTCTGACAATTTTTTCTTTACAAATGATCTGTTCCCTTTGCCCCTTTTTCCTTTTTCTATCCTCTTTTCCCTGCCTAAAATGGAAACATGAGACCTAGAATTACAGCACTAACTTTGGGTTCCTGAGGATAAAAGTCATGTAATATGATGGCTAGAGTGGGGGACACGTAGAACCTGAGTCCTTAGTGACATCATGAACTGATAACCTAGCTTGGGTGTCTAACAACTACTTTTTGTTGTAGGGATCAAATTAATCTTTTTACTTGTTTTTCTTGTTTTGTTTTGTTTTTGGTACCAGGAATTGAACTCAGGCCCTTGCACTTGGGAAGCCGGTGGCAGAACTACTGAGCCAAATCCCCAGCCCATCTTTGTACTTGTTTAAACCATTGTTTTTATGACTTTACATTGTTTGCTGCTGAATGAAGTCATAACTAACTAACTGGAGTGATGTTGAATTTGAAGTTTTAGAGGAAGGGTTCTAGGCCAAAGGAAGAGGAAAGGAGTTACCTATGAGCACCAAGTTAGCCAAATAAGAATTAAGTCATTCATTCATTCATTCAAGAAGTTTATTGGAGGCTAGGCTATAGTTTAACAGTAAAGCACATGCTTAGCATGTGAAAGACCCTGGATTCAATTCCCAGCACCAAAAGAAAAAAGAAAAGAGCCAGGTGTGGCAGTATACGCCTGTAATCGCAGCACTGAGAGGCTCGGGACAGTTTAGCAAGACCTTGTCTCAAACTAAAAATTTTAAATGGCTGGTAATGTAGCTCAGGTGAAAGCCCTAGATTCAATCCCAAGTACTGAAAATAAATAACTAGTTTGAGGACCTACTGAAAATTTAGCAACAAACAGACAAAAGTCCTCTCCCTTAAAGAGTTTGCCTTTGGTGGCAGGTAGAAGCCAGACCTGACCTCTGAGCTATTGCATTTTCATTGGTCTCAAAGTTGGTGGGGACTGAAGTCTGATTGATCAGGTGACAGGGTGGGGTGTGGCATGTCTGTTCTCACAGTCCTTTTCACCCACCCATTGTGTTAGCAAATCAAAATGGTCATCATACTTATCCAGGGTTTTCTGTGAGCCAAATACTGGGTTACATACTTGTCAAGGGAGGTATTGTTATCTCTGTTTTATAAGAAGGTGAAGAAAGCCTCTGTCACAGCTTACTGAGTTCTTTCTGGCTCCAGAAATGCCACTGCATTCAGTTGGTACTCTTTCTCTGAGCATCTTTTGTTCCTGTTTAACAGCCCATTTCCTGATGTCCCCTTCTCTCCTTCCTTTGGACAAGGACTGCCTCTTGTTCTCTGCAGTCAGGCACCTAACAAGAGCCTGACCCCTTCGTTCATTTATCCCACTCTTCTTTTCTTTTTTTTTTGGTACCATGGATTGAACTCAGGACCTTTTGCTTGCAAGGCAGGCGGCGGAACCACTGAGCTAAATCCCCAATCCTATCCCACTCTTTAAGAAGCTTTCACCATGCTACGTGCTAGGAATGTAGCCAAGTCACAGAGACACAAGTGAGGAAGGGGCTGGTGACACATGAGCATCACATCAGAAGGGCCAGTACAAATATAGGAAAGAGAAAAAAGTCAGACTGGGGTGGGGTGGAACCAGTCAGGGAGAGCTTCCTGGAGGAGCAGACACCTGGTCTAAGTTCCAAGGGAGAAGCAAAAGTTGAACAGATAAAGCAGCAGTGGATGTGTCTGACGGGAGTAGCGAGCAGTGGGCTGAGGGAGACAGAGAGGTACGGAAGTAGTAGAAGGGGTCAGGAGACCCGAGGCTGGGAAGTCAGAGGGCGAGGATTTGGCAAGGTTGGGTAGGCACTGGGGAGCCTCTGATGGATGAGAGCAGGGTGAGGTGTGGTCACATGTCTGGCACTCCATAGATACTTGGCGGTGCAATGTGTATGAAAGAAGGAATGATAACTATGGGGTTCCATGCATGTGTCCTTCAGGGTGGTGGGTGCAGACAGGTGAGCTGACAGTAGAAGGACAAGTCAGGCAGGTGTGTGAGCACCAGCTAGCTTGCATTCACCTCTTGCTTCATGACTGTCCTTCCTGGGCCACCACCGTCATTCTCTGAGATTTTTGCAATAGTTTCCATACCAGTGCCGTGGCTTCTGCCCTCGCCCCTGCACACGGTGCTCCCCATGGACACCCAGAGGGATCCTTTAGAGCCAAGTCCTCCTCTGGACTTGGCACCACGCACTTGCCACCCCACTTCCATCAAATGGCGGCTAGTGCTGTCAGTGACTTCAGCCGTGTTCTGGCACGGGCAAAGCTGTTCTTAGTGGGAACGATGTCCCAGAAGTCGTGGTACCATGGGAAAATATGTGGGTGCTGAGCTCAGAGCAAGAGCAGCAGCCTGGCCTTCACCAAAGTGGCCGACACAGAGAAAAGTCTGGTATCACACACTCTATGCAGGTTTCATGCTGCCTCCCAAAGTTCCACCAAAATCTAACCCAACAGACAGGAGGACCTTTTGGTCTGAGACCTTCAACAGTCCCTGTGTGTGCTGAGCTGAGGTGGTGCCCTCCCTACATCCTCTGTTTATACCACCAGTACTGCTAAGGGCTCCCACACCTTGCCTACGAATATGGGTCACACCCCATCCACACCAGCCTGTGGGTGTTGCTGATGTAAGATGCTGCCTCAGCAAGATTCTGACAAAAACAGCTCCCCTCCCATAGCTGAGAGGCAACTGGCCCCAAAAGGGAGAAGAGGACAAGCATCCAGGTGACTCCTCCAGCCCTCTTTCCTGGGCTTGGGGCCTGGTAGCTTGTGAAATCCCCCCACTTGGACCTGAAGTGTGATGTTGCCATCCAGACAGCCCTGAGTGTCGGCAGGGTATTGTCAGAGTCCCGCCCCACACTCAGGAGTTGCCAGCGGAGTGGGAGGAGAAATCACAGCCTGGGCCCCTGAGCCAGGGCCACAAAGAGGGTTGCTCTCTACTTCTAGGAACTCCGGGTTGGTGTTGTCTGTGCCATAGCCCTCTCTGCTCCCACCGAACATGCATTAGCAAGGAGGGAAAGTAGGGCTACTGCCAAACCCCACAATGTCTCGAAGTGATGTAGCTGCATAGCGTTTGCCTCATGGGTTTCTTCTCAAGTGTCAGCTTTCCCTGGAAAAAGATGTACACTTATTTATGGCAGCCTCATGTGTCAGGGACAAGCCTTTGAGGCTAAGCCTGTACCTGATATGAAGATAAATACTCACACTGGGGTGTAAAATAGTAAATAAATAAGTGTAATTTAGATCATGTCACTCCACCACCAAAAAGCCTCCTGCCCCCCTCCCCCGTTGCACCAAACATGAAACCCAGTCCTTACCATGGCTCACAGGCCACCAGGATCACTGGGTTCTCTGTGGTCTCATTGCCTTCTATCCTTTCCCTACCATCCTCAACTGAGCATGGGGCCAAGGCCATTGTACCTGTCATTCCCTCTGACAACCAGACAGATGTCACCTTGGCAACAGCAAAGCCTTCTCTAAGGACCTCTAGAATAGCCACCTCCTTGTCCTCATTATCACTTCCTGTTTGCTTACCCTGCTTCATTTTTATTCGAGGCATTCATGTGGATTCTATTCCCCTAGTTAGATGGTATACTTCAGGAGGGCAGAGTCAGTATTTACCCTATTACCACCTTTATCCCTGGCACCTGCAGCAAGGCCCTTACATAGCAGGTGATGTGCTTGATAAATACTTGTTGAAGGACGATGCCTGAACCCCTAACTGCTCCTGTGTGGCCTGCAACTATACGGTGTCCCTGATGACTTCCTATAACTGTGATCTCAGTTTGTCTCCACTCTGTGGTGCTGTCAGAGGAGAGTGGAAATTTCCACTTGAAGCCTGGAAGGACATCATGTTCCCTGGGCTTGGCTAGAGGGGCTGGGAGGAAATTTCCACAGCTCCAGGCTGTGCCCGGTGGCATGAGAGGAGTGGCTGGGGAGTCCAAGGAGGGGCCAGGACTACTAACCAATGTCTGTGCCTGCTGCTCTGCCCAGACTCAGAGATTGCTGTGTTGTTTGCAGATAAGCTTGGGTTTGGGGTGTCCAAGAACCAAAGAGCCAAAAGTATCTGTGGCCCTCAACAAGTTCAGTCGGCTTCCTTTTCACATGTAGAAACTGTGACCCAAAGAGGAGAGAGGCAAATTGTCCAAGATCACACAGAAAGTTAATGACGGGATAGACAGACTCACAGCACTGCATAGGTTCAGGGTTCACCTTTTTCTCTTCCGTTCCCTCCCTGTCTCCTGCCCTTCCTTCCACCTAATGGCTCCCTACTTTTGGCCTGCAGCACCCGGACCTCTCTGCTTTTGAGCCTCAGGCTTCCTGAGGCCAAGTCATGCCCCTCCTCTTGCATAGCTGCGTACCCCTCCTGCGCCTCCACCCCTACCCTCATCCCGCTGCACACTTTGCTATACATTTATACATTTTATGATTTTGGGTTTTTTGGGTTTTTTTGTTTGTTTGTTTGTTTTTTGAGACAGGGTCTCACTATGTAGTTGAGACTGACCTGGAACTCACTATGAAGCCCAGCTGGACTCGAACTCACAGCAAGCCTCCTGCCTCAGCTTCTCAAGTACTGAGATTACAGGCATGCACCACCATGCCCAGCTTGCTATACATTTTAAGCCCCCCAGTGTTCAGGTTGATGACCTGGACCACTATGAAGCCCAGCTGGACTCGAACTCACAGCAAGCCTCCTGCCTCAGCTTCTCAAGTACTGAGATTACAGGCATGCACCACCATGCCCAGCTTGCTATACATTTTAAGCCCCCCAGTGTTCAGGTTGTCCCTCATTCCAGTTAGGTGAGAATGTCTGACTCAGCAGGCATCAATATCTTGTAATGATCCTGGGGCAATTTCATTTATGGCAAAGTTTGGAACTACAGTTTTAATCTCCACCTCCTACTCCTTGGCTCCTGGGCTGCAGATAACCTGCTGATCTTTTTTCCTCCAGGTTTCCTTCCTGGATTCCGATCCTGGGCTCAGGACAGATGTTGGCTGGCCAATCCTTTTCTGCTTCTACCCTTTGCTTAGCCCTGGGCCTCCAGTCTGCCTGGATTGCCTGGTCTGACCTGTATCAATCACTATCTTTAGGCACTTAACAACAGAGACCAACAGTGACCTCAAGATGGATGAACAGAGAGGGTCCTTGATATTCAAGAAAGAAAAGAGATATGGGGTCAGGCAGACTGGGTTCTAATAGCAGCCAGTTCTGCTTCCTGGGTCTGGGCCTCAGTTTATTCATCTGTGAAAGAAGGATAAGGCATGGAGGAAATGCCTACCTTGTAGTTTGTTGTACGCATCAGAGATCCTACCCAACATAAGGGCCCTGCCCCTCGGGGCCTATCACGCTGGAGCAGGCTGCTTTTGCCTTGTTGGTGGGGAGTGATGGAAGCCTTCTAAAATAGCCGTCTCCTGCTCCTGCCATCACTCCTTATTTCTCTCTTGTCTTGTTTGTTGCTGTTTTGGTACTGAGGATGGAAACCAGGGCCTTGTACATGCTAGGCAAGCACTTTACCACTTACCTACATCCCAAGCCCTTTTTATTTTTTTATTATGAGAAAGGCTCTTGCTGAGTTATTCAGGCTGCCCTTGAACTTGCAATACTCCTGCCTCAGCCTCCCAAGTAGTTGCCTTGTCTGTTTTTCTTTTGAGACAGAACTTGCTATAGTGGTACCTCAGCTCTTGAACTTACTTTGTTCCACATTCTGATCGTGAACTAAATCAGTTGCAAACCAAGTCAAGTTTCCCCTTGAAGTACAATGTAAATAAAGTTAATGTATTCTGACCCCTACGAATGTGGTTGCAATCTGATTTTGGTCGTGAACCAAATCAAAATTTCCCACAAGGTTCAATGTAAATAAGGTTAATACATCCTGAATTGTGTGTATTTTTCTAACCACAAAAATATGAAACAAACTACAGTACAGTATACTTACTTGCTTGAGGTAACTTGGGGAGGAGATCATTGTGTGGAGGGAGAGTCTTCTGCATAAGGACATGGGGGACGTCTCCTTCAGGGGTTTTCTCTTTGTCTCTTAGCTGCAGGGTCCATTTTGATGAAAAATCTGTAATGTCACTTAATTTTTCCTGCACTGCATAACCCTCCAGAAACGAGAGACTGCATTATTGTTTACCAGATTTAATACTGTTCGTCACAGTTGTGCTGGGGTGGTGCTTCTGAAAGAAAACCTGGCACTCCATTTTTCTTTTTTTTTCTTTTAATTTTTGTTTTGTTTGGTACTGGGGATCGAACTCGGGACCTTGCGCTTGCGAGGCAGGCAGCGGAACCTCTGAGCTAAATCCCCGGCCCTCATTTCATTTTTCCATAGTGGATTTTCTCACACCACTGCTCACCTCCTCCCTGTGTTCCTCTTCCTCTTCCTCAGTGCAGTGCTCCTTAACAAACGCCTTCCGCTGCTCACTCGAGTTCAGAGAGTTCTTCCACGGTCAGCTCCTCCTTATGGTCCTCAAGGAGCACTTCTGTGTCTGCACCATCGACGTCTAGGCCGTACTTTTGCCAACGGACACCCCCCCACACACTACCTGTGCTTCAGACCCTTCAAAGTCACCTTCAGTGACACGTTCCGGCCACAGTTTTCTCCAGGTTGAGTTTAAGGTCTGGTAAGCGACATCTTCTCAGGCTTTGTCAATGAGGTTGATGGAGCAAAGGATGCTGAAATGTTTCTTCCGGGACTCCTTCGGAATCAGGGATGTCTCTTCAGTGACATTAAAACATCTGGTGAAGAGCCTTTGTGCACAGCTTCTTAAAGTGGCAGATCATTTGCTGGTCCACGGGCTGCAAAAGAGGTATTGTGTTGGGAGGGGGACTTGACCCAGCGTCCATATCATGTACCGAGGCTTATAGGGGTGCCAGGCACTGTCCATGAGAAGAAGGCAGCTTTTAGGTTTTTTTGTTTTGTTTTGTGTTTGTTTGTTTGTTTGAGACAGGGTCTCACTATGTAGTTGAGACTGCTCTGGAACTCACTATGTAGCCCATGCTGGTCTCGAATTCACAGCGATCCTCCTGCCTCAGCCTCTCAGTGCTGGGATTACAGGTGTGTGCCACTACGCCCTGCTAGCTTTTAGACAATGTTTGTCAAAAAGATATTTAATGGTAGGTGTGAACACCTCGTGCAACCATTCCTTGAACAATTATGACCCAAGCTTTTGCATCGGCCTCCACATGACAGGCAGCCTGGCCACCACACAGTCTGTTCCTTGAATGCGAGAGAAATCTGGGGACGGTGCACCAGCAGTGGCCGACCCTTCAGATCGGTGCTTGCATTCCCACAATCTGTCCTTCATGAGCTTGTGCCCTAGCCGTGCCTTTGCCTGCAGTGTGATACCGGCTGCGCTTGCCTCTTCTTCCAGGAGACCCCTTTTTCGTCACGGTTGAGCGCTTGCCGAGTGACAAGTCTTCCTGCCTTTCTTGAGGGCTTCTGCACAGAACCGGACACCTCACCATGTCTTGTCACACTGTGGATTCCACTTCTCGTCGAATTTATCGAATGCCCTTCATTGGCTTTAAATTCACCACTTGTTGGACTTGTGGAGGGAATTCTTGCAGTAAACCACTGTGGGATTTCCTGGCTTTGTCACAGATCATAGCTTCACTAAAGCGATCACCTGCCAGCTGCTTCTCATTCAACTGCACTAACAAAAGTGTTTCCACCTCTTCTAGCACTTGTGTTCTCTGCTTGGTTAACGTTGGTACTCTTTTTGCCACATAACTCCTTTGATGGCATCTTTATTCTTCAAAATAATGGAGATTGTCCACATCACCATCTTGTACTCCAAGGCCAGATCGATCACACAAATACCACACTCAAGCTTTTCTACAATTTCCTTGTTCAGTTCAACAGTTATTTTCTTCAAGACCTTCTTCATGCCAGGTGTGGTGGCACATACCTGTAATCCCAGAACTTGGGAGGCTGAGGCAGGAGGATTGCCTCAAATTCAAGACCAGACTGGGCCACGTAGTTCAAAGCCAGCCTGAACTACACGGTGAGACCCTGCTTCCAAAGACAGCAATAAAAGAAACCAAAACAATTAAACTAAAACCTTTTTACCATTCTTGCTCTGCACATTTTTGTTACCTTCATTCTTGCTCTGCGCTCTTCATTACCTCTGTCACTTCATTACCACTCTGCACTTTCTTTTCACCACCATGTTTGGTCTGCTTTCTTAGGAGCCATGCTGGATTGAATGATAATGCAGTACTGTGTGTTCTAAAAAGCACACAAAAAAAGCCTCACAGCAAGTGTGCAGGTCTGTCTGTGGCCAGAATCTCAACTAGAGGTAGCCCAACCACAGTCAGAGCAGAGAGGATGGCTACATTTGGGTTTTTTGAGGGGGTTCTTTTTTGTTTTGTTTTTTGGTATCAGGGATCAAACTCAGGACCTGGTGCTTGCTAGGCCGGCAGCGGAAACACTGAGCTAAATCCCCGGCCCAGATGGCTACATTTGTGCCATTTGTGTGGGGAAGATGGCAGCGGTCATGTTCATTACCCGATTTGGAGTTCATAAATGGAAGAAAAATTTTGCCGAACGCTTCTGTTTGCAAACTGAATTGTTTGTGAATAGAAGCAACTATGAATTGAGATACTGTAATTTGCCCAAGGTAGGTCTTCAATTTAGGATTCTCCTGCCTCAGCCTCCCAGAATGCTGGGACTCTAGGTATGCACCCCCATATCTGGCATCCTCCCTTGTTTTTAGTCACAGTATTTATGTACCTTTTTACCACCCCCCCATTAGAGGATGTGCTTCAGAGAGCAGAGATAGTGTGTATCCTATTAGTACCTGTGTCCCTGGGCCAGCAGAGACCTAAAATAGGACCCCATACACATATGCAACATGCTCAATGAAAACTTACGGAAAGATGCATGAACCCCTGACTACCTACCTCTGTTTGCCTGGAACCATGAGTTGTTCCCCCTCATCTCCATCTACTCCCTGGCCGGAGATGGCCACCACTGCATGGTGCTGGCTAGGGGCACCTTGAGAAGGGAGATGGCTGTGAACCTTCTGAAAAGGACACTGCCGGAGAGGGCTGCCTCCCAGGCTGACTGATGAGCGGGTGCAGAAGCTGCAGGTGAAGTCAGGAAGGATCAGTCAGAGTGTCCACTTGCCTGGAAATGCAGGGTGAGGTTCCTGATGGGAGATTTTCCTGGAAACCCACAGAAGTGCCCTGGAGAACCGAACCATTAGGCACCTGTCACATCCAGAGGCAGCAGAGCCCATGTACAATCAACCAAGGCTTTTTTTTTTTTTGTACTTGGGATCGAACTTGGGACCTTGCGCTTGCAAGGCAGGTGGCGGCACCACTGAGCTAAATCCCCGGCCCAACCAAGGGTTTTTGAGCAGGAGGGCAAGGTGGAGCAACGATGAAGAAGCTGACCACAGTGTCCCCTGCCTGCAGTTATTCCAGAGGAAAACAGGTGAAACTTCAGCCTGGAGAGGACAGCTCTGATAGCAGGTAAGACTGGGCCTCTTAGAAACCTCTAAGACTGCACTTATGCACCCAAGAGGCAAAAGGCACAGAAACATCTCACATGGCAGCTCCAGAAGAATTACAGGGGCTCTGGCAAGAGAGCAAGACATTGCCTCGGCCACACCAAGTCTCACGCGTTCAATGATTCGTTCGTCGGGTAGCTACACTGTGAAGCAGGTTTGGGCCAGTACCAGTGGAATTGCTGCCAAATTCCTGTGTAGACCTGTGCTGGGAATATTTCTACGTAAAATGTGAGGGGAAAAATCATTTCCTAATTAAAGTATACAATAGCTAAGGCTCGATGTCACCTTGCCCGAGAGCCGGCTGTGGCATTCGGAGAGACGACTCCATTTTGCCTCAGGTGCAGCCGAGGCCTCAATTGATGGTCTGTGGTCCTCGAAGGCAAGATAACATCAGCTGAAGATGTCCTGGTTTTTGGAGAACTTAGTAGTAACACAAGAGAGAAAGGTTTCACCTTGGGAGGGACTAATTCCTCATCAAACTTAACTCATCCCACCTACCACGGTAGGAATGCTCTCTGTACAGTCCTCCTCAGTGGAAGAACCTTGTGACTTAAGATCTTCACCAGCTCCTTGTGTACTTTGGTTTTTTTGTTTGTTTGTTTTTTGAGACAGGGTCTCACTATGTAGTTGAGACTGACCTGGAACTCATTATGTAGCCTGCTGGTCTCGAACTCACAGTGATCCTCCTGCCTCAGCCTCCAGAGTGCTGGGATTACAGGTGTGCGCCACCATGCCTGGCTTCCTCATATACTTTGACCCCTGCCTTCTAAGTCACCTGCTGCTCCCTCCAATTACTGTGTACCCCAATCTTGGGAGTCTTTGTCTTCGCCTGCTCTGAGGCACCAACCTCCCAGCTATGCAAGTCTCTGTTGTCTTTTCTTTTTGAGCCCTTGCCATCCCCCTTTCTAGGTAGTTGGAGGATTGCTCCCCCTGGTAGACTTGGGAGGGCCTTTATGTCCCAGGCCCACTTTCTCTCCCTGTGAAATGCCTGTTAAGAGAGTCCTACCAGGTTTTGCCTGTCTGCAAAAAAAAAATCAAAGCGTTCTTGGTCCCAATCAGGGAAACTGAGTACAGCACAAGCCCAACATCTGAAGTAAAGTCTGGGAGGCCTCAGGAAGTCAGGTGAGTCTGAAGAATGATCTCAATAGAGTGAGGAAGTTGAAATTCTAAAATTGGCTGGGCGTGGTGGCGCATGCCTGTAATCCCAGCACTCGGGAGGCTGAGGCAGGAGGATCACTGTGAGTTCAAGACCAGCGTGGGCTACATAGTGGGCGCCAGGTCAGTCTCAACTACATAGTGAGACCCTGTCTCAAAAAAAAAAAAAAAGAAAGAAATTCTAAAATTGATTGTTTAGGGCTGGGGATGCAGCTTAGAGATACAGCTCTGGCTTTGCATGTGTGAGGCTCCATGTTGGCAGAGGCATAATTTACACAGCACAAAATGCTCTTTAAAAAGTGTACAATTTTGTAAATTTTTATAAATTTATAGAGTCGTAAAACCATTACCACAATCTAATTTTAAAACATTCAGTCATTTCATAAAGATCTCTCAGGTCATCCCCACCTCCAGTCCCCAGGTAACACTAATCTACTTTCTGTCTTATAGACTTGTCTTTTCCAGAAACTTCATATAAATTAAATAATAAATATTGGCCTTTTGCATTGGAATTATTTTCACTGGGCATAAGATTTCTGAGGCTCATTCATGCTGTGGCATATAATCTATACTTCACTTCTGTCCATGATCAAACAGTATTTTATTTTATTTTAGCTCTTTCTTCTTTGGCATGGGAGATCGAACTCAGGATCTCACGCATGTCAGGCAGGCGCCCTGCCACTGAGCTACATCCTCGGCCCAGTATTTTGTTTTCTGTATTTAACACATTTTGATTATTCGTTTGTCAGCTGATGGACATTTGGGCTGTTTTTGTATTTGAGCTATTATGAACAATGGTAGCTATGGACCTTTGTGTACAAATCTTTGTGTGGATATTTGTTTTCATTTCTCTTGGGTAGATTCCTAGAAGTTTAATTGTTGGGTTGTTTAGCAACTATGTGGTTAGCTGTTTGAAGAAAAGA